AAAAGGAACCATTGTTTAAGTTGATGGCTGATGACAATAAATTCTTGTGGATGAAAAACAGAATTGATAGAATGTGGGACAATAAATGGGTGCCCGCAGGGAAAGCTTTACAGATGAAACAGGATTTGAGTAACAGATCTAAAAAAAGGGTAAGAATAAATGTTGTTTGATGAAAAAATGAATTCACTTACGAAAGCAGAATCTTGGTTGAATAAAGATTTGTATGTGTTTAATAATGAAGTTGTATTGTCGGCAACATTTTGTGAAATAATATACGCAATATAATAAAAACAGTAGAAATATTCTTACCATTTTCGTTAATATTTGTGATTATTTTTCAGCATCTTAGGGTGTCACCAAATCACATGATCACAGATGGATCATATCACAAAATCAATATTTGATATATAAAATTTCCCATTAAATTTAGGCTGAAATGTAGATCTAGATTGTTGAGTTGTTTCCTTTATAATAGGTCCATCTCTTTTTGAATTTACCGGATGACCATTTCACCTGTTTGTGTATTTTACTTCAAACTAATTTGAATCAGGAATACAATTACATATTGTTTTTAATTTCGCTCCTTTCATTCATTAGTAAACTGTGCTAAATTAAATCCACATAATCATGTACAATAACTATAGAACTCATAGTTTTCCTGCCAAATTTGTGAACTTAAACACAGTGAAATTGCTTAAGGTAGAGATGCAGTTTACCTGACAGGTATTTTAATTAGTTAATTAGGAAACCAAGATGACCTCCCTTGTCCACAAAACTATATATTTTCGGAAAGCTTATTGTATGAATTTTAAAATTTTGTTAATATTTTTTTTTATGGACACTGTAGTTTGAAATGTGCACAAAAATGTGCTTTTTTGGTCAAAGGTGATTTACAAAAAAATAGCTTCTAAACCATGCTTCTGTTTCCTGTCAAAATTGGTTTATGGGTACATCTGTTTACTATGAAGAAAGTGTCATCTTGAAAACTGTCTACCAGTTGTCAATTTTGCAGGGCAGCAGCTCAAATTTCACTACTTCAAGTTTATGCATAAATTAACACCCAGGCTAGTTGTCTGTATGATTGTTGTAACACTGTTCAACCAAAAACAATGCCCCGACGGCTTTTGAAGATAAACACATTGTCAATCATTTGTGAAAATTTCAAAACAAAAGGTCAAAGCGTCTAGGAGCTATTTTTTTGAAAGTTCTGGGATGTGCACTGAAAGGAAGCTAATTTGCATAACAATTCACTCAGTAAGAAGTTTGCTAATGCTCATAATTAAAATGGCTGTAACAGTTTCAAATTTAAATGTATTATCGTTTTGTTAAAAGTTAAATATAGTGCATAATATGGAGATCCCGTCATTTCTTTTTTTCACCATGTTTCTTTTTTATTATTTATGTACAGCCTTGCTAAATCTTGCTAAGCATTCAAAAGAGAGAATGTTTGCACCTGTTATCTGTATTTTAAAATCGTTTTTTTGAGTATGTTCCACTATACACAATTCTACAAAATTTTAACAGTCTATCGCCAAGATTGTTTGGATAATAATAAGCAAAAAAAAAAAAATTTCACTCCCAAGTGCCCACGAACCTGCATCTCTACCTTAAAACATCAAAATAGTGATTTTTAAATGCCAGTGAAAATAAATGGTTTTACAGTATTTACTAGGTTTGTTATGTTTAGAACATGCTTGAAGCAGACTTTAAATGGTTTTGCATGACTGGATTTATTGTAGTGAACTTGGTCATTAAACCATAGAATAAGCTCTATCACTAATAATGTGGCAAATAAGGGGAAACTTTACATTGGTTCTACACTATGTTGACTGGGGATTGCTTTACTGAACATTTTATAGTATAATAGGCAGACATTTTAGTTTAGTGGGTATGACGATATTTTCAAATCTCTAATTTTGATATTTTTGTAAGTTTTGGTAAAAAATTGAAAGAGCTTTCAACTAAATTTTGCCATCAATACAACTTTTAAAAATGTTAATCACATACAACAACAGGATACAGTAACTTGTTGTAAACATTAAATTTGACAAGCTGAAGATACTTCCATATACTTCACAGATTTTAGAGTCATTTTGATATATAGTTCACAAGATAACAAGTTGATTAGTGTGATATCATAAGATTTCATTTAATAACCTCACTGTTAGTGCATGGTTCTATTAATTATTTTTTGTGAATGTTTTTTGTGTAATTTTTGGCAAAAAATGTTATTTTTGACTTTTTCTTGAAAACTACCATCTCAATTGCTTTGATACTTGGGTGGTTTAGACAATTGAGATATTTCAACCTTGAAGTTGACAAAATGTTTGAAAAAAATATGGAAAAGAAATTGAGTATGAAAGATGACATTTAAAAGTTGACTTTTAAAGAGGTAGAATCTACTGTCTCTCATTAGTTAGTGAAATAGGTGATGCATAACACGGAGTTGATGTCGTTTAGTCTTTTTTGCCTTTGGCACAACAGTATTCATATTAATAAAATATTTGGTAAATTATTATTCATGGCTTGTGAGCAGATACAAAAAGAAATGGCGGTACCTAGTACAATTGTATTATTGTTCTAAAAAACATGTTTTAATCATAACTTGGAAACTGATCTTAGTCATAATATCAAATGTATGGTGTGTTGAATATTTCATATTGCATCAAATCCTTGGTATGTATATAGAAAATAAAATGCAGATGCATTCTGTGTTTCAAATTTCATTTCATTGAGGCGAAATAGTTAGTGTGGGCAAAATATTCTTTTGTGATATGGTTTGTATTCCTGTGTAAATTTCTCAATATTTCATGAACTTACATTGTACTAGCACCAGCCACATTATTTGGTGACCCAGCATTCATAAGTGATGAAGAAAGCAATCCAAGATTGCAAACTCAAACCCAACGTCCCATTATTATTTTAGTTTACATTTTGTATATTTTGCTGATAAACAACAAAACTGAACAACTTCTTGGTAAATGGAAAAAATTCAGAAGATTTTATAATTGAGTGCAAAATGCACCAGAAATCTGTTTTCCCCTGTCATTCTGTTTACAGGTACTAGTACAATTGGCTCATACACACAACTCTGTACTCTTACCTTGGTTGTTTGTACAACGTTTAAAAATGGGTATCTAAAACCAGTAAAATTGTTATTTATGGTGTGTATGGTTCCAGT